TAAATTATCTAGTAAACATTCTTAAATAAATTATCTAGTAAACATTCTTATTTAGGAACTTTTAGTCAAGGTATAAAGGTCCTTGTTACAAACCTGCAAAAAGTTAGCACGCCATTCTCATAGTAAAATATAACTGAGATTTGTTTATTTCCTTGTTTTTTAATATGTGGGAGGGCCAGATCAAAATTTAATAACTGGTAAGACAGATAATGGAGAAAAGGACAAAACAGAATAATACCACAGGTAAAAGAAGGAAGAAGCTGTCTCTTTCAGACCTAATCTTCATCTGTAGACTTTGAAGAGGAAACTTCCCACTTCCAGAATTCTGGAGGTTTTTTAATGAATCTCAGAACTGTATTTTCAGTGACAGTGTATATCTCAGTGGGATTCCAAATGGGTTTACACTGGGAAGCACATGTCCATCTGCTCTGAAGTATAAAAGCAGTATTTGTTGTTTGAAGTACTGAAAATGGAGGCTCCAGCATTGTTATTATGTTGTCAGAGAAGATTGGCTATTACATTAAGATATGAATATAAATCATGGCTATATAAAAATAAGAAAAAGATTGAAGTCTTATTTTAGAGTGGCAATCCACAGTGAATTGAATGTACCACATTAATAAACAGTAACAACTTTTTAAATAAGTAAAGGCTCAAGGTAGTCATTATCTTGAATGCTTACTTGTGTTTCTCTGTAGCTACAGTGCTTGGTAGAGTCAGAGCTGTTTGGATTAACCATAGCCCTTAAATAAAGCAGGCAATTGTGTTCCCTCATAGGCATGAAGAAAACAGAGGCAGTCATCCAAAACCTGCATGGTCCTCTAGGCCCACAGGTATACAGTACGTGATTTACAAATCTAAAGTGGCAAAAGCAAGAGTATCTACTCTAAGGCTATCGTATGTTCTCTTATCTGTTTATCAATGGTTATTCAAAACTGTGTAAAAATTTTATTTGCATAAACTACACAGGTTTTTGTGATTTGTATTTTGTACCCTCCAATTTAGAAATTGTATAGGTATCCTAAGATTAAGCATTAATTTACTCAATTTAATAATATTCACCTAAATTCTTAAAGTTATCACACATTGTGAATTCAGTACTTAAGCTCACACATTGAATCCTTATAATTAGTAACATAAAATTTAATTCCATTTTTTCAAATGACATTATCTATTATGATTTAATTTGGTTCAATGAATAATTTACAATTTTAAAATTATAAATAAAGTGATGTTAACTCATCTCACCAGTACAGCTAGTGGAAGAAATATAGTACACTCAAATTAAATTAGTTTTTGCTTTTTAGAAAATGAACCCTAAACTTGTGTATACTATAATATTATACTAATATTATTTTTACATTATGATAAGAAGCCATTTTCAAAATGAAATTAAGCCAATTTGTCCAAAAAATAATCTTGATTAGATATGTTATGTATTTTCCCTATAAAAGAACATACCTAATAAAAAAGGTATTAACATTTTTAAGTTATGTAAAAATTGTGAAGTATTTTTTTTTAACAAAATACTTTAACCTGTTAACTAAGAACACTAATGAAACTCACACTTAAACTTCTTTTCTCTGAGTTACAACTTAAACAGGCAGCACATTTAAAGCACAAGGAAAATTTTTAATTTTTTTAGACAAATGAATTTTTATTTAAATTGATGTATTTTAAGTCTTTATGTAAGCCAACTAAAATTTAAGATTATATTATAATTAATTAATTCCCTGAAGTGGATAATTTCACAGTTATTTAAATTCATAAAATAAGATAGTCTTTTCTGGGCACGGTGGCTCACGCCTGTAATGCCATCACTTTGGGAGGCTGAGGTGGATCACCTGAGTTCGAGACCAGCTTGGCCACCATGGCGAAACCCCATCTCTACTAAAAATACAAAAATTAACCAGGCGTGGTGGTGTGCCTGTAATCATAGTTACTGGGGAGGCTGAGGCAGGAGAATCGCTAGAACCCGGGAGGCGGAGGTTGAAGTTAGCTGAGATTGTGCCACTGCACCCCAGCCTGGGCGACAGAGCAAAAGTCTGTCTCAAAAAAAAAAAAAAAAAAAAGATAGTCTCAATCTTATTGCCAATTAGAAAAGCTAACTGTGCTAATACAACAGAATTTAAAGTGGATTAAAAACAGAGCCATAGGTTTTCTATTTAGTATGTTGATCAGTTAAAGAAATAAAGGTATGTAATCAAGATCAGATGTCCCTCAGGTGGCACCATTGCTGAAAATATGAATAATTCTCTGATCCTCAGTTTAGTAAAAAATTCTAGTTTCCAGTGTCATATCCCTTACAATAAACTCATTAAGGTTTAGAAAATATTAAATCTTTGTTTTATTCAGATATTGAAAGCAATCTTTTTTTTTCCTGACTCAATAGTCCAATTTGTAACAACATGATGTTTCTTCTATCCTCTAACCTTACTTAAAGAACCTGAAGGGGCAATAATGTGAAATTAGTAAAATTAATAATAAGCTGTAGAGCCTTTGGCATAGCAGTTACTGAGACCAGACATTCGGTTTCCTTGATTTCCTTTTTGTCTCCTGTTAGTCTTAACACTTTCTTAAAGTCAAAAGTTACAACAGGGCAGCTATTTCATATTCATATCATCTTAACACAGGAATACTGGTTTTGCAGATATCGACAACTATTTGGACTCAAAAAAGACAAGTTTTCGAAGGTAGAAAGAGGCATACAAGCACAAAACATCAAATCTCATATAAAGCCAGAAAGAAAAACACCAACTCTCTAACCTTGTGTTCTCAGAGAGAATATCGACATCTTCAAACAAAAACACCCCAGAAAAAGGTTAATAAATAAACCAGATTTCCTGTCCTCTCCACTGACTAATCACTTAATGATGTGACCAGAAAACCATAATTCAAATTCTACTACTGCTACCAATATGCAACCAATCAGCCAAGTTCAAATAGAATAACCAAAGTTTATCGCGGACGATAAACTTTCAGGATGCAAAAGCCAAAGGAATGTGAACAGAAAACTCAAAGGGTTCAGGGCTAGACAAGATGTTTCCACGACACACATTTCTGTTGGTTCTTATTGTATGACTCACATAAACACTGTCTTGGTGGAAAATTCAGAAATAAATGACCGAGAAGTTAATGATTTGCTTACTGTGTACTTGTACAGAAGAGAGAACAAGCAATAGAATTATTTCATCTAACACAGGCAAAAACATAATTTACGTAAGAGAAAGGGGGAAAGGCGGGGAAAGAATCACCTTGGGAATACTGAATTTTGCTTGCAGATTTTGGTTACACTGATTAGTTAGTTGGCAGGTAGAAGAGAGGTCAGTCTGAATGTGAATAAGTCTTTGACCAGGTCCATTAGAGGCATAAAAAAATAAATTTAGGTCCGGCGCGGGGACTCACACCTGTAATCCCAGCACTTCCGCAGGGCAAGGTGGGAGGATCATCTGACGTCCTGAGTTCGAGACCAGCCTGACCAACATGGAGAAACCTCGTGTCTAGTAAAAATACAAAATTAGCCCGGTGTGGTGGCGCATGCCTGTAATCCCAGCTACTCCGGAGGCTGAGGCAGGAGAATGGCTTGAACCCGGGAGGTGGAGGTTGCTGTGAGCCAAGATCGCGCCATTGCACTCCAACCTGGGCAATAAGAGCGAAACTCCGTCTCAAAAAAAAAAAGAAGAAGAAGAAGAAAATTTACTTGTGAGAGACTCTGGAAATTTCATTTTTCATCAGAATTTCTCAGATAAGTTATCTAGGCAAGGCAGCCTGTGATTGCACAGCAGGGTTCAACTATAAGACCTTGTCTGAGACCAGAGAGGCCTTAGTTTATTTTCCAGTTGTGAAAGAAATTGCAGATTTAAGATCACACAGTCCTTATGTTAAATAACTTTGTAACCTGAATTACATGGTATTTAAATTTGTAAAAATCTGCTTTAACACTAATTTTATTTATTGTATATTCCCAGTTTTTAATGGAGAAAGCAAACTTCACTTCAAGGTGCTACAAACGTGTTCTAGACTTGAATAAAAAGATAGGTAAACTACTTCTAAACTTTCATCTTAAAATCTTTGCCTGGAAAAGACCATGAGTAAAATACTTAAGGGAATGTGGTATTTCCCAGGCCATAAAGCGGCCTGCAGTTGTCTAGGAAGGGAAGGTCTTCTAGGAGACACAGTGTATGTGCTAAGTTTAATGGCGTCTCCTCTTCATTCTCCCAACCAGCGCCTAGTCCTTACTGGCCTTCAGTTCAGTGTTCGAATGCTTGTCAATTTACCCAAGTTAGAGTTGGCTTCTTCTAAAGCAATTTGCAACCTTTTCTGCATGTTACAAGCCCCCTACAGAGATTTTAAGTTTCAATCAGGCAACACACCATTTATGGCTGAGCCCTGGGATTCAAGTAAAATTTGGTTTGAATCTTGAATAAACCAGTTGAACAGAATAAAATGTATGAAGCAACATCTGGCGCGGTGCTTACATCTTTAGGTTCTTACTGCCTTATTCTTATCAAAACCGACACGTATTATGTTAAAGGACTTTATTACCGGGGCAGTTGGAAACCAAGGCGACACAGCCTTCAGTATATTACGAAGGTGTGCGCCACGAAAACAGAGGGGGTGTCCTTAGCCAGTTACTCCCCAGGTTTCCACTCCGGTCCGCTATGTAAATAAGGGTTTCAAACCAGCTTTCTCTCGATTGGTTAATACGGCAGCCGTTGATCCAGGCGACGTAAACAGGGACAGACAGACAACTGGGTCCGAAACCTACGCGAGCCTGAGGTTTCTTCCGGGAACGCGGGGTTAGCAAAATGGCCGCTTGTCTCCATTTTAAATTTAAGCGCAACGAATTGACCCCAAACCCATTTTTAGTGGCTGGTTTCTTCCAGGCTCATGCCCCTTTGTCCCTAAGTTGCAGTACTTGTCCCCACCCTTCTCCAATCCCTAATATTCTTCCGCCGCCAAATAAAAATTTGGCGTCTGGCCACAGCTCTTTTAGTGGGTATGTGGGTGGCTCTTAAAAGAGCCTTTGGGGTTAAGTGTTAAGACGCTTACTTGAAAAGTTTACTTGGAGCTGGTGTACTTGGTGACGGCCTTGGTGCCCTCCGACACGGCGTGCTTGGCCAGCTCTCCGGGAAGGAGCAAGCGCACGGCGGTCTGTATCTCCCTGGAGGTGATGGTCGAGCGCTTGTTGTAATGCGCCAGGCGGGAAGCCTCCCCCGCGATACGCTCAAATATGTCGTTAACGAAAGAATTCATGATCCCCATCGCCTTGGAAGAGATGCCGGTGTCGGGGTGGACCTGCTTCAGCACCTTGTACACATAAACAGAGTAGCTCTCCTTGCGGCTGCGCTTGCGCTTTTTCCCATCTTTTTTCTGCGCCTTGGTCACCGCCTTCTTGGAGCCCTTCTTCGGGGCGGGAGCAGACTTGGCTGGCTCAGGCATCTTTAACACCAGAAATGTGTCGGAAGTAAACAACGGATTTCTGCTACTTATAGGGCTTTTATGCTAATGAGGGATGGAGAGTACCTCTTAGTTAATTGGAAGACAAACTGCAGAGTTGTCATCCGTGGGCCGAGCTATGCAAATGAGGTATGAAAGCGCAGCTTTTCTATTGGCTACCTGACTAGTATTTGCTACCGACCAATCGAAAAGTCGGATTTACTCCCTAGCAACTACCTATAAAAGCAGCCATGTTTTACACATTTCTTGATTTTGTTTGTTTTCTCCTGAGCTTGGACTGCTTGTTTTGGTGCTGTTTTGTGTTATTGAGATGTCTGGACGCGGTAAGCAGGGAGGCAAAGCTCGCGCCAAAGCGAAATCCCGCTCTTCTCGCGCTGGTCTCCAGTTCCCGGTGGGCCGAGTGCACCGCCTGCTCCGCAAAGGCAATTACGCAGAGCGGGTCGGGGCCGGCGCGCCGGTGTATCTGGCGGCGGTGTTGGAGTACCTGACTGCCGAGATCCTGGAGCTGGCCGGCAACGCGGCTCGCGACAACAAGAAGACCCGCATCATCCCGCGCCACTTGCAGCTGGCCATCCGTAACGATGAGGAGCTCAACAAGCTGCTAGGCCGGGTGACAATTGCTCAGGGCGGCGTCCTTCCTAACATCCAGGCCGTGCTTTTGCCTAAGAAAACCGAGAGTCACCACAAGGCCAAGGGCAAGTGATTTGACAGGCATCTGAGCTTCCGCAAACGCTATCAAACCCAAAGGCTCTTTTCAGAGCCCCCCTACTGTTTCAGAGGAAGAGCTAACCTCACTGCTTGTACGTACGAGGAAAAAAAGCACTAAGGTAAGTTAATTTTATCCCAATCTGGAGCAACGTGTATTCTTGCTTTTCAGTTTTTTGGGGAACGGTGTTACTAAAGGTTGGTTTGTCTGTATTAGGTCAGTTAGGATCTAATATTCGCATGTGCTATCATTATATTCTAACTAAATAGTCTAGTGTTTTGTAAGATCGACCATAGTTGGTGCCTAATTAGTTTACATGTCAGGGATACCTGGTGATCTAAAAACTGATTACTTTTAAAATGTAAATTCAAGGCAAACTGTAGCGTGACGGTAACCTTGTTCGGCCCTCCAACTAGTCCCCCTTCTATTTCTCAATTTAGGCTGTAGGCAGCCTCACTTAATTCTGTTAAACTTCTAGGTTCCATCCCTGCTAAAGTGCAGAGTATACTGTCTAAAAGTTAACCAGGAAGTTGAAAGGTGTCTAAAAAACAGATTAACGTCCCTAATGTAGAACGATGCCTGACATGCAACGTGCTGTTTTATTTTAAAAGACTCAAGCGTCTAGGTTTCCAGCACAGCCAGAAAAGGAGACTGGGGCCTGTGGCCACTCAAAAACCTTTGCTTTCTGCTCACCTCTCTAATCCGAGGCCGAGGGGTGCGGATCACCTGAGGTCACGAGTTCGACGCTAGCCTGGCCAACATGATGAAACTCGTCTCTACTAAAATTACAAAAACTAGTCGGGCGTGTTGGCACATACCTTTCAATTGCAGCTACTCTTGAGTCTGACTCAGGACAGTCGCTTGAGCCTGGGAGGGAGGGGGAGGTTGCAGTAAGCCGAGACCGTGCCACTGTCATCCAGCCTGGGCAACAGAGTGAGACACCGTCCCCAAAAAAACCATTGCTTCTGTCTGGTAACAGCTGCCCCACCCACAAGAAATGGAGATCTGGGACCGTGGGCAAATTTCTAGGGACCTGTTTTCCTGGATTCTGAGTCTCGCCGAGGTTTTCTTCCGTATCTCGGTTTCTGCGCTTTTTGAAATCTGTTTGCTTTTTTGAAATGGAGTTTTGCTCTTGTTGCCCAAGCTGGAGTGCAGTGGCGCGATCTCGGCTCACTGCATGCAAACTCCGCCTCCCGGGTTCAGACGACTCTCCTGCCTCAGCCTCAGCCTGCCTAGTACATGGCATTACAGACGCCCGCCACTCGTAGAAACGGAGTTTCACCATGTTAGCCAGGCTGGTCTCCTGACTTCAGGTGATCCGCCGGCCTCTGCCTCCCAAAGTGCTGGGATTACAGGCGTGAGCCCCCGCGCCCGGCCGGTTTCTGCTTTGATCGGAATTAAGTGAGCAGGGAAGTCTAGGCGGGCTGAGTCTTGCCTACGCCTCAGCGCCCAGCTCCTCAGACTAGCCAAACAGACCCCAGTCGTTTAGTCTAACGCTTCTGGAATTCCACTGAAACGTTTTGCATTGTTTGTTTCGAGCCTTCAAATCCGAGTGTGTGGGCAGGAGATAATAATCCAAGCAGAGGCTGTTTACTGCTGACGCTCCTCCCACTTCCCAGATACTGACACTAGTTTGGGGCGGGTCCAGCCTTTTCCGCTCTTTCCTCCTTCCACCCACTCCTTTCCCTACAACTACCCTCAAAGGAAAAGGGTTGGATGTCCTGTTTGGGAGAAAACAAAGTGGCATAAAAGCAAATGATCACCTTTGATAGCCACATGTTAGAATTTTCCGAGGATATTTTTAAATTACAACGATCCTAATGGGCAGTTGGGCTGAGAGTCATCAGATTTGAGGAAGGTCTGGTTTCACATGGCTCTTGGGCTGAGAGGACCGGATTTTTCCCCCTAGCATTTCCTGTATGTCCGAGAATTTGGATCTTAAGGTTGGAACGGCTTTATATGGGCCTTGGAATCCTTTTCATTCCCAGGCCAAATTGCCTTTGATTCCAGCTCCCAATCGGTGTGTGACCTTGGCCTAGGGCTTAATTTCTTCCTGCCTCCTCTTCCTTGCATGCTTTTGCTCACCTTGAAATGAAAAGAATCTGGCTCAGCAAGTGTAGATTCTGAAATCAGAAAACAAGCTAAATAAAAGAGATGGTTTATTAGGCACTACTGTGTGCCAGGCACATTTCATGAGATTCCAGTATGTTAATTCATTTAATCCAACAATCTTAGAAATAGGTTTTATCCTTATTCCGAATTTTGAGATGAGCAAACTAAGAAACAGCTTTAAAAAAGTTCCAAGGCCAGAAAAACAGTACTTATAACAGCTGGCTATTCTATAACCACACCTCCTTAAGAGATTATTGTCAGAAAAATAAAAAGAGTAAAACATCCATACATAATGGGTAAACTTTGTCCACATACCAGAATGTTACTAATGGCTTTCTAACCTCTCTGAAGAATTTAAGGGAAGGAGGAAAGGTAATTTTCCCCAGGGAATCTACATGAAGAGGTAAATCTTGACAATGTATTAACACTAAATCCAGAAAAAAAAAAAAAAGCGAGTACAATTTTTATTTATTTAGGGTGTGACAAATGAAATAAGGGGACAGGTGAGAAGATGGCTCAGTAAAGAGCTACAGGACTTGATGCAACTGACTTATAGCGGTGACTGAGAAAAGGAGAGAGAGAAAACTTGAATTTCAATTCTCTCTGGGCACCAATGACAAGATTTTGTATTTGGTCTGTTTAGTAGTGAAACATTGTGTTAAGTTTGTTAACCTAGAAGCTTTCATCTTAAGCAATACTTAAGATCTAGACCCCCTCTTATTCAATTACTGATAATCAGCATAGAACTTGGCATATAAGAGACACTTGGTTGTTGGGCATTGAGAAAATGTGGAACCGAATGAATCAATGACTAGGCAGCCAGGAAGCACTTTGCTCTAGACTTAGTTTATTACTAAGGAAGACATTAAGTATTAAACACTAATAGGTTGCTAATCGTGTTTTCTCTTTCCAATAGAAAATATCTTCTAAGGCAGGTATGGTGTCTCACATCTGTAATCCCAGCACTTGGGGAGGCTGAGGTGGGTAGATCACCTGAGGTCAGGAGTTCGAGACCAACCTGGCCAACACGGCAAAACCCTGTCTCTAATAAAACTACACAAATTAGTCAAGCATGGTGGGGTTCACCTGTAGGCGCCTATAGTCCCAGCTACTCAGGAGGCTGAGGCAGAAGAATCACTTGAAACCCGGTAGGTGGAGGTTTTAGTGAGCCAAGATCATGCCACTGCACTGCAGCCTGGGCGACAAAGTGAAACTCCATCTCAATTAAAAAAACCAACCGCATCTCTAAAAAAATACAAAAATTAGCTGGGCATGCTGGTGCACGCCTATAGTCCCAGCTACTCGGGAGACTGAGGCAAGAGAATCACTTGAACATAGGAGGGGGAGGTTGCAGTGAGCCGAGATGGCACCACTGCACTCCAGCACTCCAGCACTCCAGCACTCCAACCTGGACGACAGAGTGAGACTGTCTCAAAAAAAAAAAAAAAAAGTAACAACAACAAAAAAGCAAATCTACTCTGAAAATCCAAATTGCGTTGGCAGTTTGTTCTGGAAACTTCAGAGAAACAGAAGGTGCCAGTTAACCAGTTCATACCTAAGAGGTACTGCTAAGGGCCTACTCCCTAAACAAAGGACATTCCTCAGACCTCTGTCCTGTCTCCTTATCTCGGAAATACTTTACGTTCTACTTTGAAAAGCCACTGTTATATCCAAAAGCCCTAGTTACTTCTGGGGAAAATTCTCTATTGAGCAGTGAATTTCCGTAGCTTAAATTGGATTCCAACTCTTGAGCAAGTTTTCATCTACGTTGCCTGAATGGCCCTGGGGAGGACTATTTAAATTGGGGCGAGTGGATGAGAATGCTAAACCTAGAGGTCTCCCAATTACCAAAGGCACCAGGGACAAAAGTTTATCTCAGGAATTTACTGAGATGTGAGGCTGAGATAAAATCATTTTTTGGTACATAAGATATCCTGAACAAAGCAGATCAGTTTAACACAAAATCAGCAGTTGTAATTTCCCTTTTTAAATTTCCAAATAATCTATGTAGCAATATCCTTTCCTTTAATTCATCCGTCATCTCTATTCACTTTTTGTATTCTGTAAATCATTTGAACTCTTTTTTACAAGAATTATATTTTCCCCTTGAGGTCACAAAAAAGAAAGTATTAGAAATTTTATAACCAATTTTAAAAAATTGTATTTTAGGGTTAAATACAAACCTTCTAAAGGTTTGCCATCTGTTGATCCTAAATTATAATTATA